AAATGATATCATCTCGCGAAATTTGTCTTCTTAATGCCTTGTTCAAATTTATCAAAGGGACTAATTGTTTTAACTTTAGTTAGGCGTTTATATTTATTCACTCTTATTTTGAGTGATCTGGACGTTTGACTGACATATTTAGTCGGACACTTGGCACAAGATATTACACTATTTTTATCAATAATTTTTATTGGATCTTTTAGCTGACTTATTATATTTTTAATTGGGTTCATTGGTGTGAATCCCAATATTTTTGAGGTTTCTTCGAATTGCCTCTGATGCACCACTTTTGTATGGTATTGTGATAGTATTTTTGCCATCCCTTTTCTTGCTATTCTCTTCTTTATATTATCTCTGATAAATCCTTTTGGGTAGTTGTTGTGAAGTAACATTCTGAATAAGACGTTTATTTCTTTTTGTTAACCATTTGGTGTTGTTGTAAGCTTATGCATTCTGTCTGCAAGACCTTGTATTAACCCTTGTTTTATCGTGAGTGAATGAGCTGAGTGATAATCAAGGAATCTACCAGAATGTCTAGTTTTTTTATATAGCGTCATTTTCATGCTGCCATCTGTTACTCTGTGGTCTAACATAAACAATTCCCCAGTTGCACACTCGTCAACTAGATGTATCTATAACCTTGAGTGAACTAATATCCTGCAGGTGGTCAGCGGTGACCTCAAGTATCCCCCGGGTAACGTCTCTGATCGCCGCACTGAGTGACACAGGTTTGAGTCTCTAAGGAAACACCAGCTTCTTTGAGGATACAGATACCGTTTGCAAACTAATGCCAATGATAACGACATCTAGGCGTAATGCTCCTTGTTGACACCCATCAACCACCGAACATGTCAGAAAGTAAACTTATTCCGTACTATTCGGAGGTATCAGTTATTCTGTTCGTAGAGCTTACAAGCAGCTGAAACGTCATATAGACAACATTTCACGGACCAAACAAATGATAGACTGTTGAGAGTCATTTTGTTACTCAGAAGTCACAATAGTAAAACAAAGCCATAATGATCTTTCTATTACGTCATTTGTGATTCTTTCAAATTTTCTCACCTATGCATAAATCCGAGGAGAATACTAATTTAAGTCACGCTTTGTCTTCTCTCCACTCTATCAAAAAATGACAGTGAACAGCACATGGTTTATGAACTTTAAACCTTGAAAAATTATTCTTGCAGCAGGATGTTTTGAAATAAAAACATAACAATTTTTATAATGAGTTTAACGTGTATTTCTGCTCTGTAAACTGATAAGATTTGTTGACATGCTGACAGATTGGTATCTATCAGACGACTTAATTAATCTAAAATCGTGTTGTTTCACGATGAAAGGAATTCATGAAATCGAACATGACTTCTCATAAGATTATATTTTTGGAATTGCCTGAAACAAAGCATAAAACGCACCGATCATCCATCATCCGTTATAGAAATGAATTAAATTTGTATACGATTGGTGGATGGTGGCTAGCAGTGGAATCCAGGATGCGCATTTCGTCGTATTTGGGACTCGTCAGCTGGATGTACCTGCATTTCTCAGTGAGCGATGATGTTCCCACCAATTGTATACTAATTAAATGCCCAGACATCGTCGAAGCATCTGTACAAGAAGCCGACATGTCAACCTGAGACCGAGCACTTCGGTCCAATCAATCGACGGGAAAATCAAAAAATTCAATTCAATGAATTAAATTTATTTATTGAGTTTTTAAGGAAGCAAAAGCTGTAATCTGGCGTGCTCTGCATTTCTGACAATTAGGAACCTATGAGGAAAAACACCTATTGGTTGCAAATGTAGATTTAATATTTATTGATATTTTACGAGTTGATCACGGATTGATATCAGTTAGAGAACCATTGAAAACCAGGGAGTACTGGACAGCTGCTGTTTCATCCTAGTTTGGGAATCATCGGCAGTACGCACCCACTGGGATTCGAACCCGGGACCTTCCGGTTACAAGGCAAGCTCGTATACCATTCAGCCACTGGGACCCGATTCAATGGCTCGTGAATTCTAACTTCTACTAATTCGTGATTTAGCGCGACCCCAACCATTGTCGTTGGTGGGACATCCATCCACACACGTGACATCTAATTGGACCTCATTGGTCACGACTTCTCACTAGAACTCAGGAAACTCCAATTGAATCGGGTTCCAGTGGCTGAATGGTATACGAGCTTGCCTTGTAACCGGAAGGTCCTGGGTTCGAAACCCAGTGGGTGCGTACTGCCGATGATTCCCAAACTAGGATGAAACAGCAGCTGTCCAGTACTCCCTGGTTTTCAATGGTTCTCTAACTGATATCAATCCGTGATCAACTCGTAAAACATAACTAATCCTTACAAACCAAACTATAGAAAATTAATTGATATCCCTCATCCACAAAATGAATGTAAATGATAGTAAAACTGTATTTCAGTAATGACAATAGTAAAACAAGAGGCATTTTAGCAACATTCATTATATTTTTATGCAGTGAACACGATATTTGCCGTGAAATTTCAGCTATATGAAACCATGAATAATTTAAATTGACTTATTTCAAAAGGAATTTAGAGGTAATAAATAACCCAATTTAGTTGCATACACATTATTTGATTACTTCATGAACCTGCAGTACAACAGACTATTGTCATAATTTTAACATTGTGTTCTTCTTCTTTGACTTCCATTGGAACATCTCAGATCTCTCTAAGATATTTTCAGATTATTGCCTATGCTGAACAGTGATTTTTATTTAAGCATGTAATTTGTAAGGCGTTAAATACAAACCTGAATGAAGTAGCTATATTTTTAAGTAATCTGTCGGTGAAAAAATATCTACTAAATGATTAATAGTATTAGACCAACCTAATAACTAAAATCTCATTTAGCAAAATTTTACATTATCACACAGAAATCTTTACGTTTTTCAAAATACTTATCTTACTTTTCGAGTAAACATTAAGAAATTGATTTATTTGATATTCAAGCACTGGTTTGTAGAGATTTGACTGATTGGTTACAGGATTTCATCATGAGCTGACATCGGTTAAAGAATCATTGGAAAACCTGCAGGGAGTACTGGACAGCCAACTGTTTCGTCCTAGTTTGAGACCCTTCATCAGTACGCACCCACTGCAGGGGTTCGAATTTAAGACGTTTTGTTTACAAGGCGAGCTTGTAGAGCACTAAGCTCCTGGGACCCGATCGAATTGGCAGCCCATGAATTTCAACCTCTGCCAATTCACGACATGGCGCGAGCACTAGCCAATGTCTTCGGTGAGTATTCACTCTCACGCCCAACCTGCTCTACTCTACCCCACCCGGTGGGTGCGTACTGATGAAGAGTCCCAAACCAGAACGAAACAACTGTCCAGTACTCCCAGGTTTTCCAGTGGTTCTCCAACTGATGTCAGCACATGATGAAATCCTTTAATAATCTATTTGATTTCAAAAATGTGCTAGCATTCTGTTATGAGCGACGGATACCTGCAAGAAATAATCCCGTATGTTGATTAAAGTTTCCCAACTAAACGCCTTATAAGAAAGATATTTTGTTCCACATTTTCTGTATCATTTGATTAAAAAATTCCAAATAAGTATGGCTGGTTCTTCCATACTGTGTGTGTATGATTTATCACATTAATCTTCTAACAGTCTGACCGTATGATGTCATAAGTTTTACTTAAGGCATAGTCATTTTGTCACTAAGCAAACCGTGAAGTAGGTCACAAATTTTACAATGTGGATAAATCTGTTTAACCATCTATTTATGCAAAAGACGCCCTAAAGTCTATTGCTCAATTATGTTGATTAAAATCTAGTACATCTCACCACCGTTATCACAGTTGGTAACTTTAGAAGTATTACTTCTAGTGGTATAATTCATTACGTTGTAAGAATAAACTATTATTTTACATATAAATATTAAAGGCCAACATCAAAAATGATAGAACTATTCTGTTGTGAACAGGAGTATCAAAGTCTGTGATACCTGAAATAATGGGAAATCCCACAAATCGGTTGAATTTAAATTTACATTATATGGGTCTTTGAACACTGCTCAGGAATGTAGAGGTTAGCTAAAAACATTCCTGATAAATTGGTAATAATTCTGAAACTACCTATCCAGTAAGATATATATGCATATGTTGTTACCTTTTGACAATTTTATTTTACATAACTTCTAAGCACTTCTGTCAGCCAGTAAAATATGAATATTTTAAAGTAAAATTTTCAATCGCTGCCTGCTCTTTCCCCTAATCGTCTATACAAATCTTTAGAGAATGCAGAGAATTTGATTACAGTTTGCAAATTTAACTGCAATGATCTATTCAAACTAAATAATTGCTCTTGAAGTGAATTGTTTATTTCAAATATCTACCGATGAACTGTAGAAATTTGCAATACTATGTAATCTGGCTTCTGGAAAAGTTAGCTTGTGCCAGTTTCAGTGTACGGAGAATGAAATAACTTTAGTAGATAAAAACTTGTCTTCTTTTCTCAAACTTTTTTGTTCCACTTAAAAATAAAAGACAAAAAATTCTTAAAAGAAAAAAGCACCTTGAAAACTGACCATATCCCATAGTTGTTGTGTTGTGTTATTTTTTTAAAATCTTAGATGGTGACTTTAACGACTATTTAATATTATTATTATTATTCTGTTTTGGCATCTTCATTATTGTGAATAAGAGCTCTTCTGTTTGTGTGATTTTGTCTTCACCATAGGAGTCGATATGTAATAGGTGTGAGAATAATACAGTGCATAATGGTTAATCTTTATAACTAGGAAAGTAGAGTGTATCTTTTGCTAGGTATCCATACAAGAAAGACTGTTAGTGAAGTAATGAAAACTGTATGAAGGGAATCGGAGTAGTGCACAAAACATTACTGTCTAACAGTATGCTATAAACAGTCCTTTTGTTTTATCTACCGAATGATAATAATCAATACAGGCTATTCTGCTTCTTCTTCATTGAAAAATCATGTTCACTTTAGTGATTGGTTCAACTTATTGTTTCATTGACTGGATTATTTTCTGAAGTTGTTGGTGGTGTTACAGTTAAGCATAAGGAATTGAAGACTGGTGTTGCTTGTGTTTCATTGGTGACTGGTTCAGAATTATAACAATCATCTTCTCGTTCACCTTTAAGCGTCACTTTATTGTTTTCGCTGCACGATTCCTTCGTATCATTCTCTAAAACATAGTTCAAATAATGATGGATATCCAAACTAGAGCTGCAAATCGGCAAGCAATAGTTCTCAGTGTTATTTAAGGAATTCTGCCTCAATGTATCAATTGATAATTTATTGGTATCTTCTGAAACCTAGAAATATATAAAGTAAATAAGAAACATTTACCATCGTATAATAATGCAATATAGTGTCTAAATCACTTTTGACAAAACACATACCGCATTTGATTTTAAAGTCATTAAAGTCTTCTCATCCCAAGTTCTGTATGCGCATTAAATAAATAAGATTTTGTAGGATATGACTGGTTAGAATCTGTGCATATTTTTTATTTTATTTCAGTCGGTATGAATGTTTCATGAGAAACAAAATATTACCTTAACTTAACAGACTGCAATCCAAACATTATGAAAGTATCTGTAAAAGCTGATATCTGGTCAACGCGTGTCAGTTACAGACAATTCACAAAGGGAAAAAATAATAAAACCAGCTACAGATTATAAAATAAACAAAAGCATTACATAGCTACAGTTCATAAGCCCTTCAAGGGTTGAAATTTATACAGTCTAGATAATTTGCAATAATCAAGTGAAAAATCTGCTGAACATTTAAAGTACGTTAATGTAAATAGAAAAAATAAACTAAATTTATTTATTTCAATAACCCAATACGATGTAGCTTATCTGAAAAGTGTAATGTATTTGCGCAAAACATTTTGGACAATCTGATCACACACGTACTTGTCATACACAGTTTTATAGAAGACAAGAAGGCATGAATCATTACAATCCAGGTCAGATTGTGTACAGGTCTAGGTTGCAAATAATGGGTTGAGAGATGACGCGAAGGTGCAAGTAAGAAAGAAAAAACAAAGCAAAGAAAGGATTGAAAATATTATGAAGTAAATTGATCCTTGGTTCTAAATTGGTTTACCAAGGCAGGTTTAAAGTAACAACAACAGCAACAACAAATAAAACCGCCAGATACAATTGATCCCAGAAACAGATATGCAACATCATCTATAGCTAAGTACATTATACAGACGGGTCACAAAGTTGATTTCACCAATGCCCTTAAGCCCATACATAAACCAAGGTCGGATCACATACTTAAATTCTTTGAAGCCTTGGCCATAAAAAGACCTGTTTTATGTGTTCAAAAGTCATTTGTTATTACTTCGGTATCACTCAAGGATCCGGACAAGATGCACTGAGGAATCAATTGACGACAAATTATGAAATCTCCAAGGGACCTTAACAAAAAGTGGTAGGGCTTCTCTATAGACGACTTTCGAAATCTCTCAGTAAAACATACTTCGCCACCAGCCTACGAGTGAAATTCCCCTGCAAGAAACTATTCAACCAACACGTGAAAGACAAGCTGTCGCATTGGACCACTTCAACATGTATATACCAGTTCACCCGTACCGTGCGTCTGCTTGTAAAACGCACTAGGAAACACTATCTAGCACTGCTAGCAAAAGGAGAACTCAAGTGCGTATACAGATTGGTAAGAGAACATCTTGTGAATTCATGACATTCAGCTTCATTTGAAAAGTCTTTCAATGTCGCATACAAAATCCAACCAAAACTCTCAAAGGGAGTGGAATCAATGCATCTGGGAATAGCTGAGGCATTGGTGATCCAAAGGTTTAAGCCCACTGTATGTATTCAAAAGAAATACGTCCAACCGTTGTCCCTACTATGGCCATCATAAGAAATCAATCCTATCGATAATGGTTATTCTGTTACGTTTCTCATCCAACCTTCTAGTTTATTTCTGTTTTTTTAATTAAATTTCTATCTGCATTACTATGTTTTTTATCCAAACTTTCTGCCTATTTTGTTATTACTACGTTTTTAATCCCTAAGTGCACAAACGAAACATTCAAGTTTTTCAATAATTATGATCCTATTGTATCTTTTTATCCGATCTTCCTGTTTATCACACTTCGTAATTTTATTAATTTTACCTTTGGCCAGAAATTGTTCTTGAAACTTTTCATGGATTTACTATAGATACATGACTGTACAGCGCAGATGATTACTTTGTCGAAAAGAAAATTTTCTACGCTGCAGCCTTCTTTATTATTATTTCCCATGATCTGATACGTGCATTCCATGCTTATGTGTGCGTGCATGCGAACACGTAATTATAAACCAGTTTAATTTCAAATAATATAATTTTTCCACGTGTTAAGCAGTTTTACTACAGAAATTAGTGTACAACTAATCACCTCAATGTGATTGTCTATGGATTTTCAGTCCTTCAGTCAATTCCTCGTTATTTTTTATTAAGTCGATGAAACTACTTTTCATGTATTGTTATAGTCATTAAAAGCACCGAATGAAAATGTTTAAAATTAACTGACCTATATTGTATTCCATAACAATTTGATATTAATTTTATTTCAAATACTGTTACAGACAAAGTGTTCACTTAAAGATTGCCTTGACCCAATCCGACTAAACAATTTAATCTACTAAATATCATATTATGAATGTGAGACTTAACTCGTAAGTCAGATGATTAGATGTAATCTGGAAGAATTCTTAGCCACCAGTATGCATACGCTTTTATGCAGTCACAAAATAGAATGAAAGAGGGAAAAAGTTTCTAAGTGTAATATATTTAGACGGTGAAAGAATTTAATCTTTGAAACTTTCTTCATCCAAACACCTAATAAACTTAGTGAGAATGATGCCACATAAATTCAAAATATATTCGAGAAAGATTTAAAAATAGGAGGAATCAGAACCAAGATGGAAAGGCGTGCAAATGCACTGATATAATTATGAGTATTAAATTGATTTCTAGATGTCATCCAGTGATGAATACTATATCACTGTGTGTTATATTAAATAGGATATGAGTGACAGAAGTTTATGCCGTCATTTTTAAGCTTCCTATCTGTAAAGAATTAAGCTCATGGAAAACGAAATATCGAAGTCAAAGTCCGTTGATTTATAAAGAATTACGAAAGTGGTACTTGCAGTCGCTGTCTACCAAAGTGATTGATTCTGTCACTGAAGTTTCTGTTTACTCGTAAATTTTGAAAGCGTTAAATGACCAATGCTGAAGAATCCCAAGTGGTTTGAAAGTACGCTACACTTAGCATACAATCTAAGCTAAATGCTTCGAGCTGACTCACTTGTATTATCTGACACCAACTTTGAATGTTTATCATACTTTCATTCTTTTCAGAATGATATTTAAATATTGATATTTGGCATAAAGTGGCTATCTGTGTTCGCCTGACTAAGACGTCCAAAAATGGTATTTTGTTCTCGGATTCCTCTTCTCTTGTGAATTTGATGTTGTTGAAGACGTTGTTTATTAAGTTGTGAGTTTTATCTAACTCGTTTCTTTTGATTATTACAAATGTGTCGTCGACGTAACGTATCCAAATCTTGGGTTTGATCTTTGGTAGAATTATATTTTCGAGTCTTTGCATCACTGCTTCTGCAATCAAACCTGATATTGGCGATCCCATGGGTGTTCCTTTGACTTGTTCATATATTTGGCCGTTGAATTGGAAGTATGTTGTTAGGCATAGATTTATGCATTCCATCCAGCTTGTGTGTTGCATTTTTGATTGTTGTGGCAGTTGTTCGTCGTTGCTAAGTAATTGCTCCATGGTTTCTTTTGCTAGGTTTTGTCCAATGGATGTATATAATGCTGTCACGTCGAATGATACCATTATTTCTTGTTCATCTATTTGGATGCCTCTGATTTTCTCTAGGAATTGGATAGCAGAGTTGATGGAGTGATCGCAAGATTCCGTTAGGTGTTTTAGTTTTCTGTATAATTCTTTGGATAAATTATATGTTGGAGTTCCTGGGAGTGATACAATTGGTCGTAATGGGATATTTGCCTTGTGTATTTTTGGTCTGCCGTAGAATCGGGGTAGGACTGGTCCATTGGATTTCATTCGCCATTGGTCTTGTTTTGTGATCTGTCCAGTTTTGGTGAGCTTGTTTAAGGTCCTTTGGATGCGGTTATCCAATGTTTGTATGGGATTTGTTGGGAGTTGTTGATATACATCTTCATCTTTGAGTAGTTCTTCAGCTTTCTTGGTATATTCTTCTCTGTCCGTGACTACTGTTGTTCTTCCTTTGTCGGCTGGTAAAATGACGATGTCCTTCCTATTTTTCAGCTTTTTGAGGGCCTTTAGTTCTTGAGCGTTGAGTTGTGTGTGTTGTCTTTTCTGTTTGACCATTGGTACAATTGTTTGGCGTATCTCTTCCTGTGTTTCCTCGTTCAAGTTTGATGATTTGAGTAATGATTCAAAGGCAGCGAAGAAATCAGTTTTTGAAGCATCTCCGGTGTTGTAGTTTAATCCTTTTTGTATTAGTTGTTGTTCCATTTTTGATAGTGATTGTTTAGATACGTTGACTACGCAAACTTGAACGAGGAAACACAGGAAGAGATACGCCAAACAATTGTACCAATGGTCAAACAGAAAAGACAACACACACAACTCAACGCTCAAGAACTAAAGGCCCTCAAAAAGCTGAAAAATAGGAAGGACATCGTCATTTTACCAGCCGACAAAGGAAGAACAACAGTAGTCATGGACAGAGAAGAATATACCAAGAAAGCTGAAGAACTACTCAAAGATGAAGATGTATATCAACAACTCCCAACAAATCCCATACAAACATTGGATAACCGCATCCAAAGGACCTTAAACAAGCTCACCAAAACTGGACAGATCACAAAACAAGACCAATGGCGAATGAAATCCAATGGACCAGTCCTACCCCGATTCTACGGCAGACCCAAAATACACAAGGCAAATATCCCATTACGACCAATTGTATCACTCCCAGGAACTCCAACATATAATTTATCCAAAGAATTATACAGAAAACTAAAACACCTAACGGAATCTTGCGATCACTCCATCAACTCTGCTATCCAATTCCTAGAGAAAATCAGAGGCATCCAAATAGATGAACAAGAAATAATGGTATCATTCGACGTGACAGCATTATATACATCCATCGGACAAAACCTAGCAAAAGAAACCATGGAGCAATTACTTAGCAACGACGAACAACTGCCACAACAATCAAAAATGCAACACACAAGCTGGATGGAATGCATAAATCTATGCCTAACAACATACTTCCAATTCAACGGCCAAATATATGAACAAGTCAAAGGAACACCCATGGGATCGCCAATATCAGGTTTGATTGCAGAAGCAGTGATGCAAAGACTCGAAAATATAATTCTACCAAAGATCAAACCCAAGATTTGGATACGCTACGTCGACGACACATTTGTAATAATCAAAAGAAACGAATTAGATAAAACTCACAACTTAATAAACAACGTCTTCAACGACATCAAATTCACAAGAGAAGAGGAATCCGAGAACAAAATACCATTTTTGGACGTCTTAGTCAGGCGAACAACTACAGGAGAATTAGAAACTCAAGTTTATAGGAAATCAACTCACACAGACCAAATACTGAATTACAACAGCAACAACCCAATAACACACAAAAGGAATTGCATACAAACACTATTCAAGAGAGCAAGGACTCACTGCAGCACTCCCACCTTAAGGAAAATTGAAGAAAAGTATCTCATGGACGTCTTCCAAAAGAATGGATATCCACGGAATTTCATCAAGAGACATATACCCCCAAGCCAACCTACCAAAGCAAAAGCCACCAAGGAAACACAAAGAAAATTGCCTTACCATATATAAAAGATATCTCAGAAATCACTACAAGACTCTTCAAACCTTTAGGAATTGACGTCGTACACAAACCAACAAAGTCGCTGCACTCAATTCTATGTCAACCAAAAGACTCAACAGCGAAAGAAGACAAAACCAACATCATCTACAAAATAAACTGTAACAACTGCGAAAAACACTACATCGGTATAAAAAAAAAAAAAAAAAAAAAAAAAAACCACGAACATAAGCTAGCCGTCAAAAGACATGATATCCACTCCCTCATTTCACTACACACAGACAACTACGGACATCAATTCGACTGGGACAACGTTCAAATATTAGACAAAGGAAATAACAAGAATGCTAGAGAATTTTTAGAAGCTTGGCATTCCAGTGAATCATCAATCAATAGACACATCGAGATAGACAAAATTTATCAACCAATAAGAAAGAAACTTCATACACAAAGGGTCAAAGTTCAAGTCAAAGAAACAACCGGTTCCAATACAAGTAACCTAGAAGGTGTGAAAACACACACAAACAACCAATCACGTCCAAGGTCACCAGGAGAGATGATTAATAAACTCGTGGAGAAATCTAAAAGCTCACTTCAAATTGAAGTATGCGCTGAAGATGTCACCCAGTAAGGTGATGAAAGCTTCGCAAACTAACCATCCAGCTCAGAGAACAAAACCACATCAAAAACTCTGGATTGTGCATCGGTTGCATAGCGGTTAGGACGCTCGCCGACCATGCACATGGTCAGGGTTTCGATCCCCGGACGGCGAAGTCCTTTGCCTCGGTAAGCCTGAAATAATTCTGGTAAAGATGAAAGTTTGGGCATGAGGTTAGCAGCCCCATCCTGTAAAAATAAACACTGCTATAGAAACTTCAAGCCACTAGCTTGAGGCCCTATGTTCTACCGGGGAACGTGAAGGAAAAAAATACTTTGGATTATTGCAGGAACCTCTTATTCTCATCCGAAGACCATTTTACAACCGGTACACAGCTTCTGCCAGTAGACACGACTCCAGCAGTTAACGCTTCTGTGGGCTTTAACTGTATATACAAGTAACCGTTTAATTAACACAGCTCATTACTGTATTTTTTTATAATATGCTGTTACACTATCGTCTCATTAACTTGGATTTTTATTCACATACTTGTTATGTTATTGAGCTCGCTAGACAGTCCCTTACAGCAGTACCTAAACAATAGTGTTAGCATTTGAGGCTTTACATCAAAGTTAGAACCTATTTTTATGCATAGCGAGCTGATGTACCCAAATTCAGTACTAGATAATGATTTATGTGGCCATCAAGTCAAAAGTGTTTTGAAAAAAACGATAACTATAAGGTGAACAACATGATCACTAAAGGTAACTAGCTACACAATGGTATTATGCAATGCAAAACACCTCACTGCTATATTAGACGCTAGTAGCTAGTAGACTGTTGCATAAAAATGCTTTACTTACTCAATAATCAAATTCCGTGTTATCTCAACTTCAGATCATCAGAAATTGCACAAATCCAGGAAATAATTTTATTAACTAATGCATTAACTAAATGGGCTGTTAGGTCATGCCGAACTTAAGGAAACTAATCACTAGCATCTTTCTCAAGTGCTAAATCAAAACAAGACATATAAGCGATTATAACTTTTAAATTATATGTAAGGAGGAAACACAGGACAATATGAGGAAGTGGAGAAATTATCTCGTTTAAGGATTTCCCTTATATGTGTGGAAAATAAAAATAACTACATATGTCTCGGATAATGCATATATAAAATATTTTGGTCGAAAACTAACGCAGTGTTTTGAATTGTACCCAGAAAACATTGATAAATGTCCAGTTGCTATTCAGAATTTTCTTAATTCGTAAACGAAAGTAAGCGGAATATGCAAAGCTTATCATTACAGACACAACACATGTAGCAAACAGATACCTTTTCTTTAACACAATCTCTACAAAAACTATATTATAAGACTTTAAACCACAAATGAACAAATTAAAAGTGCTTTATTTTAATCCCAGTGTGTTTATAAAGTCAGTAGAACTAGACTATTACACACATGCACACACACAACCACAGAAATGTCTGGAAAATTCTCAGGTTTTGTTTTCTGAACACACTGAGGATATGTGAGATCCCTTTGTTATCTTTTAATCACAATAAGCACTGAATTTACCGCATGATATTCAAGCGCCAATTAATTCAAGAAAACTTACTTGATCATGTTCCATATCCGTTTCAGTATATCTGCAGGTTACAAGATGTTTGGGTTGATTTTCATTTAGGATATTTGGACGAACAGTTGCATTATGACTTTCCAAATCACATTTTATACTCATAATTTTATTTTTGTTGACATTTCCAGATAGAACAATATAACTTTGATCTACACGCCATATCCTCCATGACTGATGATGATATCTAACAGAAAACTGTATACAAGAGAATTATTAGTGAAAATTATATATATATATATGACGATAGTAATAAGTTCTTCAAGAGAACGTTCTTATCTTAAAACATAGTCACTGAAATTATTTAAATTAATCCCAGCGTGTTAAGAAAATCAAAGCAAGATTTTTCTGAACGTTTCAACAGAAAAAAATCTGCTGAAGAAGGTGTGGCTTACACGGTGAGACGTTCATAAAAATTTTGTTTTGTTTTTCTTAACACGCTAGGATTAATTTAAATAATTTATAATTAATCAATCTGACTCGGTGCTCAAATTATTCCAGGAAATTCGTAACACCTACAGTCTGGAAACCTATAATAGTCACTGAAACACTAACTCAATAGTAGCAATTTCAAGTGTAGAAAAATAACAGGAAGGATTTATGCTAGTGCTTAATCTCTGTTTTTGTCTAAACTTTCCGTATTACTTACACTCCGTCTGTGAAATAAAATAATATTCGCGCTTAGAATTGCTTAGAATTGCTTTCGATAACGAAACACCAAAAATAACCGGCTGAACGAGTTGTCAACATAGAAGTTTACATTCAAATGCACCAGTCTAATATGTCACGCTTTAAAAAGGAGCACATAAAAGTAGGGAAATGGGATGATAAAAAATTAATGAAAAGGAAACCTGAATGCCATACATTCTGAAGCTGTTACTCAGGTGTGAAGAAGATTCCGCATCTTGTCACCACCTTTACATAAGAAGACAATGTCATTTCAGAAGTTTTGATCAGAGAGGCTTTTTCCGAATAAAATGTCAATCCCTGGGACACACGCATTGATCGGTATCAGACCCACTGGTACTTTTATAATGAATAAGATTTGCGACCATGAGGATTATGTAGAATATCATTGATTTTACCCGTTCCAAATGACAATTATCCATAAGCTCCTACGTGACTGTAAAGGTTCAAGTAGTGTTCCCTGATTACTACAACAAACTTTCTCAACACTCCATTCATAGCAAAACATCTTCACAATACTTGTCGATCACCTGGGAAAATGGTGTCTTCAAGTCAAGTAAGTGCGACTGTGATGTACAGTCTGTAGAAAACCTAAGAAACGATCAATGCATCATAGTTAAAGTCTGGAAACTCCATGGTTTTCTGAGTTCATTTTCATCTGCCCCTTAGAACTAGGGAGCCTGGAATCTTAGACCCCAACTTAGTAAACCTGCTCTCCCATCGATTTTCACAGGATACTTTATCTCCTTTTCAGCAAACTGCGATCATCGACGGTCTACACTAGTTCGATGCAAGTATCTCGGATTTCAATGCGCTGACTAACACCTTAAGTAATATTATCCCTAGGAAATAATGTATTGCGACACATCAATTTATATTTATGGCTTGAAGACAGCTTTCCGCATGAATTATTCAATGTTTATTTAACAGAGGTAATTGGAAAGTCAAAATTGCGAATTAACAAGAAATGACGCGTGGTAAATTCCCAAAGTGACAATTTCACTTGTTTTTATCCGAACCTCTTTCGACTATTGATGAATTAGTAATTACGAGAAAGCGACTTAATTGATTTAAGTCAATTGCTGTCATCCTGACAAAAATCACTTAAAATGTGTTTCATGATTCATTTTCGATATATTTTAAATTTACAACTGAAGTAAAAATCATGAACTTCAGGGAGAAAAGTGGTAAGTTCTCACTTAAAGCCCCTATATGTATATTGTATCGAAAATTCAATGTCAAGACAATCTATTTTGAAGCTGTTAATCATTGTGGTGAACCATATGTAATATGCTTCAGAAAAGCTTGTCTTCTAGAAAATCAATGTGAAAATAGCATAATCCCTAATCCCACTTAAAAGTATGCCAAACAGCTTTAAAATCTAAGTTTCAAAATGCTCAGAAGTACTTATGGTAACTAACAGTCCAATGTAGATCAAACCAAACTTTATGCTAAATATTGAGCTGAAGATGTTCTCCATAAGGACGAAGAAAGCTCCACAACTAAACCAACCAGCTCAGAGAACACTATTAATTGCATATCGTTATCTCATTCAGAGGCGGAACTGAAGGGACAGAAACTGCTGCAAACACGCACAGTTTTGTTTCAAAACTGTCAAGCAATAAACACATGCGGCTCATTGAAGGGGCGCAAACAGACTTACCAATCTTGAAAAAGCACACTAAAATCCACCTACTAGGTCAGAAGTCGTTAGGTTGAGATTTTTAATCTTGCACCTTAAAGTTAACCGAATTCTTGTTCAATTCTTATTCAACTAACATGTGTGTACTAGCTCTCAACAAGACTCAAGACTGTAAGTCACAACCAACGCAATCTGACTAATGGATGACTGCTCACTTATGAAAGAGACAAAAACCATTCTGTTTCCCAAACCTCAGAATGTCAAACTAGTAAATTTCAACCCAGAATGTGAATGGTGGCATGTGTGCCTCAAAATGCATGGTTCTCATCCCGCCCCCCCTCCAAGAAATAGTTAGAAAATAGCTATATGAAATCCTTACACCAAGATAATAATCTTCTTATGGCTCTAGTTTTTCAGCAATTTTCTAGATCATGTCAGTTACTGATAAAGCCGACTTCGTGACCAATCAAATCATTCCATCGATAGAATTTGGGTACTATACCACTAAATGTTAGGTCTTACATGAGTTCTGCTCTCAGAAGTTATCGTGCTTTAATCTTATTTACACAATCCTAACTAGTAAACAGTGTTAAATTTAAATAAAACCCTTCATTTGTTTTTAGGTTTTAATGAAAAAATGTTAGGACAAATAAGGCGGTGCAACAGTGGTGTAAAAATCATGATTTTAAAATATTAGGAATAGAAATATATTTAACACAAGCGACAAAGGCTGGTTTTAAATTCGCATAGGGAAATAAATATTTACAAACCCATATTTACCGTTAACCAAATGGTGAACACTAACAGTAACAGACTGCACAATAATCCAAGAGAAAACGATTGCCAAGGGAAACTTCTTTGATTTGTTCCAATTTCCTCTTGACTGGAAGAGACAGTTAGCCATGCGCATAGTGTCAGCAAAGGTAGCATTAGAAGCAGACAAATAAAATCAGTCCACAAATGCTTGCGACGGTGGACTCCATCTCCATTCCCTCCAAACCATATCCACTAAATTGTTGATATAAGTTAGAAATTAGACTGTTATTGTCCTGTGGTTAAATGAGTTTTTACTAAACATAACAGTAAAATTATCGAAATAGGGTGGGAAATATAACCAGGCCAATAATTTCTCACTCAACGATGAGGCTGTTTGTTATAGTCGAAATGAACCTAGTAAGCTTGATAACAGCTTAAATTAACTAGTAACTTCAAAAGTGAAAGGGAATTTCCCAACCCAAGGTATTCAGCTTTCTACTGACAGCATTTATAGTGTATATAAACCGAAAATTAACGTTGTTTGACATCTGAACCATCAGGTCGGTCGGCTTGATAACCCTAACCTTATAAGTTTAAGTTTTGTCGAAGTAACATCAACTCTGATAACAATGGCTAAGATATCAGCATACCAAGATTCCCAATCCAACTAATTCCTTTTAAAGTAGCATATGGAAACTCTTAAATGCCATGTTTCAAGGTTGAAATCACTGAAAGTGAAAAGTTGGTGACTGACACAAAGTACAGACAGTAAGTATGTCAACTTGACTTTATTCAAACTCAGATTTATTGACTGAGAATGAAAAGCTTGATCCTTTCTTACGAATTTCAGTGGTTGTTCAAACCCGTCTTAAATAGATCGAATGGGGGCAATGACAAATTATCAGCATATCGAAAACCCTGAGCAAATGATTTATATTTGTGCCTGTGATATGTGCCGACAAAAGCTCCCGCATATTTAGACAGCTATAAACAATAAATTCAGAAGTACGATTCCCTATCATACCTTTGTCAAAGTTATCAAACAAACACAATCAATATGAATGTAATCAGATTGGTATCAAATTTAACATTAAGAAAAAAATAAATATAAATTAGATGCGTTCAAATTATTTGGAGTATCTCGCCGATCCGATATGGCTCATTCACCCCTCAAACGCAATTAAAATATCAGTGTCGCGTGAAATCAAACATACAAAGATATATTTACGAATAAAAGTTACTTCGCTAAACGTTGGATAGCATCTCGAAACTTCAAACTTGAATCCACAGATTTCGCATGTCCTAGATCGAGAAATATTTAACCACCTCTCCAAACAATGCTTGTGCAGTATCCCAATGGTTCCTATTATCTGCGTGAACTGAAGAAAACGTTAGTGATATGTTACCTGTACAGTTGCAAGGACTTATAAATTCATCACTATTATTGGATTCAAGACAAATGCGACAATAAAGACCATTGGTTTTCCTTAAAGAATATTCATGAAAACATAGTGCACAGACATACGATATTTTCTCCGGCTGACATACCATCTTCGAAAATTCACCTATTGTAATAAATGAGGCATTCGAAGTTTCTGATCCACGTTTAGCAAGTGAATTTATCGACGTATTTGACACAGTATTCATAACAATGGTCACACGATAACTTATTATAAGCTATTTATTATGAGACCTCGAAATTTCAAACAGGTGACTTTTGATGACCTTCAATATCCAATATCCTGATTACGAGCAAGTATAAACCAGTGATTTCTTTGACCTCGCTTCTTGATTGTGAGGTAGAGGTTCCAGATCTTCGGTGGGCTTCTGCGTAGTAAGTCCCGCCACTCTACTGCTTTAGCTCTGGTAGACTCTAAGAGGAGTGGTGCGGGGATTGGTCGAGATGTGGTTTGTAGTATGCAGTATGTTAGGACTGTATTGCTGCCGTGAATGGAGTTTGACCTAACTCCCGTCGGTCATTCGGTGTAGTCATAAAAGCAGAATAGTAATAATAATAATAAAAATAATGGGTTGTAGTGTAGATAATATAGGTTGAGATAAGTGGAATAATAAAGGTGACCTAAGGAAAAGATAGAGTGAGAGAAGGCAGAATAGGTCGTGGGGATTTAGTTAGTACGCTTATCCATTGACAGTGTGGTTTCAAGTTTTATGAGGATAAGCCATTGAGACACAAACCTTGCATTTCTGCATGATTGTCTAGCTTCCGCTTAAAAATCTCCAGAGATGGCGCTGTAGTCACGGCCGCCGGTAAAGCGTTCCAGAGACGGCAAACACGAAGCGAAAAGAAATGTGATCGCACTCGAGTCTTTGGTCTCTGGTGTGCTATCCTTAGCGGGTTACCTCGTGGAAGCCTATAATCACTTAATGGCAGGATGCTTTTATTTGGGTGGGCCTGGTCATTTAGGATCTGGTAGACGGTGATGAGGTCTCCCCTGTGCCTTCGGTAACTAAGTGTGAAAAGACCTAATTTCTTTAGTCTTTCCTCATATGATTTGTTGCGGAGGCCGATCACCCATTTTGTCGCTCGTCTCTGGACACTTTCTAGAATGTTAGCATCCCTTTTGAGTAGCGGAGGTGCAATGATATTATGCACCTCAAGGTGTGGCCTCACATATGCCTTATATAACCTTAAGAACAGTTCGGGAGTGAGAGCTCCCAGCTGCCTATGCATAAAGTGTAAAGTTGCGTAGGCTTTGGCGACGTCCCTCGAGTAATTTCCACTGGTGTCTAGCTTTTCTGTTAGAATAAGACCTAGATCGCGCTCTGATGGAACACAACTCAAGTTCTGGCCACCAAGGGTGTAATTTACACTCTGTGACCTGCCGGAATGAAGTTGCACTACTTTGCACTTCTTTAGGTTGAAAGGCATTCCGTTAGCCAGAGCCCAGTTTCCCAGAGTTTGCAGGTCAGCCTGCAATCTGTCTGAGTCTTCCGATGAGTTTATTGCTCTCCAAATCTTTACGTCGTCAGCGTAAAGAAGCGCAGAGCAGTTTAGTTGGGAGGGCAGGTCGTTGATAAAAATCAAAAACATCAACGGCCCTAGGATAGAACCCTGAGGAACCCCTGATGCCGAGGTGTGCCAGGATGATCGGATGCGGTTGACTTTGGTGCAGAATTCTCTCTCGCCTAAGTAATCTTTCAGCCATGCGAGAAGTGCTCCAGAAACACCCGCCTTGCTTATTTTGTGAAGGAGCAGACCATGGTGAACTGTGTCGAATGCTTTCGCAAAGTCGAGAAAGATCACGTGGGCTGGTACCTTTTTGTCCCAGGATAGTGTCCAATCGTTCCAAGCTAGTAGAAGATTCGTCACGCAGGATCTTCCCCTCCTGAAACCGTGCTGTGCTTCGTGAAGAAGGTTAGTCCCATCGAAGTATTTTCTCATGTGGTCGTCAATGAGACTTTCCAATATTTTCGATATCACTGGAAGTAGAGCAACTGGTCTGTAACTGGTCGCATTCTGCCGGTCACCACCCTTGAAGATAGGGGATAGGATTGCTCGTTTCCATTCACATGGAAGTTTCCCTACATCAAGGGAGTGTTGGAACAGATCACTTAGGGGTTGGTAGAGACTTTCTGAACACTGCTTCAGGACAGATGGTCTGATGTCATCACAACCTGAAGACTTTCCCGAAGCCAACCTTCCCAATTTTGCAAGTACCATAGCCGGGGTAATTTGAAATGTACCCAGCAGGTTTTCGCGCGTTGGTTTTGCGATGTAATCTGGATGTTCTGTGGGGGTAATATCCTCGTTACTGTTTAGTTGCCTGTGAAAGGCTAGGCTGAATGTCTCTGCCATTTCAAGACTAGTAAGAGATTTCCCATCAGAACCCACTAGATTGCATGCTCCCTGGTTGGTCGGTTTTCTTTCGGACATAAACCTGTATAGGCTTTTGGGGTTCACGAGAAGCTTATTGGCGAGGTCTCCCTGAAATGTCCTTCTATCGCTCCGGACTCGTATGTTACATCGATTCCTGAGTTCAAGGTACACTTCATATTCGGGTTGACTCTTCGATCGTCGCCACGCAAACCAGGCTTCTCGCTTCGCCTGCAGAAGGCGTCGTGTCCCCCTTTTAGCCATGATCGTTGCTTCCTAGCTTTTGGTGTGACTAAAGGAACAGTGTCTGAGACCACCTGGTGAATGATCTCCTTTACCACTCTCCAGTGTTCTTCTACTGTTAGCTCTGTCCATTTTTAGGCCAATTTGCTTCAGACAGAAGTCTTCGCATTTTGGTGTAATTGGCTTTGTTATAACACAGATAGGGCTGTGTATTGTCCCACTGTAAGCGCTCGCGGAGGACTATGTCGAATACTATGACCGCGTGGTCACTACTACATATGGGAGTCGTGATCTGAACGTTTTCCACTAGTAGCTGGTCACTAGTGAGCACGTAATCCAGTCTAGAAGACTTCCCATCAGGGCCCCATCTAGTATCCATCTTGACATTTTCAGTGAATCCAGCCTTCCTGATGGTATGCAGCAGATTTCGATCAAATCTATCATGGGCTTTTCCCGACACCAAGTTAAGAGATGGGGCATTGAAGTCACCAGCTATGACAATTTGATCATAACCCATGTCTTGAGTTGCTGAGATTGTATTTAGCAGTACCTGGTTGTGGTCTGCTCCACATGAAGGTGATCGATAAATGCTGCCCACTAGATACTTGCAGTACCCAACGGTGAAGTGGCACCATATGGAGTCAGGGAGCTCTGTTAGGGGAGGGTCCATCGCGTGAACACATCTGAGCTGTTTGTCGACGTATATGGCGACTCCACCTCCTTCTTTCAGGTCCCCATCTCGCCTGACTAGGACCATATCATTTATACTGACTTCGCTGTCTGCCACCGTAGGGGTTAGCCACTAAAACACCACCAAACACCAACATTCAACTTCGATTTCTAAAATTCTGAAACCTTCAGACTAACAAGAATATAGTCTGTCTAGTATGAAATGCTGTGTTTGATCACTTGGCCTCATATCCTAACGTGGCTAACGTATAAGCCTTCAAATTGCAGATTGTGTGGGATAGTATTCTTCAAGCCGATGCCCAATATCGCCTTTTATGGACTAGCGTAAAACAGTTTGGTTTCTTTGTGCTCGATTCTTGGTTGTGAGGCAAGGGCTCTTCGTCTTCGGTGTTCTTTTGAGTGGTTCGATTCACCACTTGACTGTCGTAGCTCTGGTTGACTCCAAAAAGAGCTATGAAATTTTCAAATTCGTGTGATCACAACTGATATGATTATGAACAATAAATTTTGTTCGAATCGTCATCCACTAAATAATACTCTTTCGCTGTGTGATACATCTAATAAACAAACTAATATGGAAGCTTGCTGAAACTCACACTGACCGTTGGGTTGTCAAATGGCTGCATTCTTATTTCTCAGGAAGAAAGCAGTACATTGTATGTCAGGGGAAGTCAGCCACTTCGTTGGTTACTGAGGCTGGTGTCCATCAAGGCACTTCCGTTTCTCTTTTTCTGTTTTCTTTCTTCTTGCATGACTTGCTTCTCTCTGATGAAATGAACTTTGTTAAGTATGCCGGTGGCCTAACTATTTCAATGTCTGTTAACACCCAGCTAGACTGTACTAAGATGAACGGCTTTCTATCAAGAGTTAGCATATGGTCTTCGTCTAATAGCCTCAAACTAAATCCTTCCAAATGTAAGACTGTTAATTTCAGCTTCCGATGTAAACGCAAGTTAAACGAAGCTGTTGGTTCCTATGACCCTCGCCAAACTGATGATACTGATACAGAAGCCAAGTCTGAAGTTAGGTATCTTGGATTAACTCTTTCCTGTGACGTATCCTGGTCTTCACATTTCTTAGCGATCTCTAAAAGAATATTTTGTCTCACTTTTTACAATAAGAAGCTAAGGCACTCTTGCACAACCCAACCACTCCTCTCACAGTTCGTCAACTCGTGTATTTTACCTATTCTTCTTTACTGTTCACACTTATTCCTTCCTGGATTGCTTCAAAAAGACTGTGTCATACTTTGTAGAACTCTGAAGACTTTCAGTAGGACGAGAGGTATCCGATTAGGACATATCGTTGACAGTGTCATTGATTGGCACTTGGTGTCATGCAACAAATTCGCTAGAGGAATTTCGTCAGACTCTGAGCATCCACTTTACCCGCAGAATCAAACCTGTGTCTTCTCAGGAATAACTAGAAGTCTTTTCAGAAGACTTTATGCACGTACGTCTAAGTATAAAAGTTGCACGATACCATATTTCGCACGTACTTAATGTGATGACAACAGTGTTAGGCTAACCTTCTTTTCACGACTAATTATACCATTTCGTTCATCCTTAAAACATCAAAATTTCCTGTTATTGTACTTCTTATATTTGTGGTCCTCTCAATCATTTTGTTTTTAATTCATATTCTCACAAGTGTAAACATAATTTAAGCTGTGTTTTAACTGTTAATTTTCTGTTTCCCCTAATCAAACTGTATCTAAAGAACCTTATATTCAGTAAAAATTAACGAGCAAAAATTTCTAAACTCAATCGAGAATACTCTTGAAAACAAACACTGTCAGCCACGTCTCGTAAACCGTCAACGCCCAGCTCTCGCTACACTGGGACTCACGCTGTTCCTTGAAGTTTCTCAGAAATGCTTA